CCTCAGCATTATTTGGGGCCAGAGAAGGTTTTGTTGTGGAGGTTGAGGGGCAGTTGTCCTCTGCACTACAGGATGTTTGACTGCCATGGATGGGGGGTTATTTCATAGCATTCCTGGCCTCCACCTAGAAGCTATGTCAGTATCACCTCTCACCCAGTTGAAAGTCATTTAAAATGTCTCTAGCTATTGCCAAATGTCCCCTGGTAGCAGGATCACTCCTGATTGAGAACCACTGGTGTACAGAATGAGGCTTGTAATCTTATGAGCAGGCCCAGTATGAGATGAGAAAGGAATCTGGCATATGGCCTTAGTGTTGAGGAAAGGAGAAAGTATGGCAGGAAACATGAGAAATAGAGGAGCAACTGCTCATTTAAAGGGGGCATCTCTTACTCTGAATGATTCTTTCTTCCTTTTTTCCTTAAAACCTCTGGTGCTCACAATTAGATCACCCATAATCCTTGGTTCATGACACTCTCATTACTTGTCAATGCTGCATTGCATTAATTCAGTTAGCTCTTTAATTGGTTCTTTATAATAACGTGATGATTCCTCCACCCCCAACAAAAGCTAGGACCTTGACAATAGTTTGCATTTGACAATGTGGCCCTGCCTTGCCTCAGTGGAGGTAACCACTGTCCTGTATCATGTCTTTGTCAATTCCTTGTTTTCCTTCCAACGTAGCTTTCTTTTATTTAACTCTATCCCAAAAATATATTTTATTTTTCATTGCTTTCAACTTTGTAAAAATGCTTGCATGCTGATGTAATTGTTTGAACTGATTTTTATCACTTACTAGTGTGTCACTAAGAGTCATCCACGTTGTGGAGTGTTGCTGAAGCTGATTTGCCTGAACTGCTGTGTAAGATCCCATTGTATGACTGTACTGTAGGGCCTTATTCTCTATCTCACTGGATGGTGTTGGGATAGGTCCTGGGTTATTTGGTGCTTTCCAGCTGATTCTTCCAGTATAAGAATGTGGGTACTGTGCTGTCACGATTTCTGATTTATTTTAAAGAAAAGCCAGAAATCAGAATTTTTATGTGAAAGTAACTGGAGGACCAATATAAAGTTTTAAGAAATGCTGACCAGGCCAACAAGAAACCTATCTGCAGGCCATTCTTTTGAGCATCCAGTTCAAGATTTCCGGAATAGGTCATTCAGATTGAGAATATCTCCCTTCGATCTAGAAGTCAACTAAACTTAGGGGTCCCTTGGAAAATCATCCTTCGAAGTTACAAAGTATCAAACAAGAAGCTACTGAGGTAGAAATTGGAGTAGGGTTTGTGGTGAGGATAAGCAGTTGATAGAAATTGATAGAAATCGCATTCATTCAGAACAAATTAGTACAGTGAAATAGTCCCTTCACATCCAAAATTTGGGAATAAGGTAAATAAGATTATCTTTTTTTTAAACTTTGTTTTTTAAATTTATTTTTTATTGGTGTTCAATTTGCCAACATATAGAATAACACCCAGTGCTCATCCCATCAAGTGCCCCCCTCAGTGCTCATCACCCAGTCACCCCCAACCCCCGCCCACCTCCCTTTCTACCACCCCTTGTTCATTTCCCAGAGTTAGAAGTCTCTCATGTTCTGTCTCCCTTTCTGATATTTCTCACTCATTTTTTCTCCTTTCCCCTTTATTCCCTTTCACTATTTTTTATATTTCCCAAATGAATGAGACCATATAACGTTTGTCCTTCTCCGATTGACTTATTTCACTCAGCATAATGCCCTCCAGTTCCATCCACGTCAAAGCAAATGGTGGGTATTTGTCGTTTCTAATGGCTGAGTAATATTCCATTGTATACATAGACCACATCTTTTTTATCCATTCATCTTTCTTTTTTCAATAATAAATTTATTTTTTATTGGTGTTCAACTTGCCAACATACAGAATAACACCCAGTGCTCATCCCGTCAAGTGCCCACCTCAGTGCCCGCCACCCAGTCACCCCCACCCCCGCCGTCCTCCCCTTCCACCACCCCTAGTTCGTTTCCCAGAGTTAGGAGTCTTCCATGTTCTGTCTCCCTTTCTGATATTTCCCACTTATTTTTTCTCCTTTCTCCTTTATTCCCTTTCACTATTTAAATAAGATTATCTTAAGGGAGATAAACTGTTTTTAAAAATCACTTAAATTTTCAAATATTTAATGAAACCAGGAAAGAAATGCAAAATTGTCTTAAAGAGAATAAATGGTTCCCACGCTAATGGGATTTGACTGTAATTTGATTGAATGAATTAGCAGGCATGTCAGTTAGGGTGGGAGATGGTCAGAGAAGAGTCCAGAGCCCATTTTAAGCACTATGCTTGCATTTGGCTCCACTGGCAGGACAATCACTCCTGGAGATGGTGCTGTTGGGAAGAGAACAAACTTTTAATACCTACCCATGTATTCATCTTGTCTTGTGAAGGTTACATGCATATCATTCTCTCATTTCAACCAGTTTCTTGGACCAGGTGAGCATTAATCTTCTCTGCCAGAGGTGTTTTTCCAACAATCTCTGAGTCTAGAAGGCTGAGAGCCACTCTTAGGACTTGGTGAGGCCTGAGGTGATGACATTACCCTTAAAGCTTCCTGGAGTCAATGTCCTACTCTCATCACTCTCTCATGTGCATTTCCAAAAGCATTGTCTTCACACAAATACTCACCCAGTGTCAGGCCCTAGGTATAAGGGCTTGTGAATCAGATTTGATTCAGCCTTGTGAACTTTCTAGGGCAGGGTCTTACCTAGACTGTGGAAACTCCCTAAGTATGGAGAAATTTACTTGTATGCATCTGTGTGTATCTGGGTATAGGGTCTATAGACTCTTAAGGGGTTCTGTTGGCTGAGGTAGTTGAAACCATTTCTTTGGAAAGCCTAAGTGTGACATCTTGAGTATAGGGATCTGCAGAGGAGAAGACCTGGACACCCAGCAGCCAAAGTTTAAACCCTCAGGAATGCAAAGGACCTAGATCTCCAGGGAAAGGGGGAATGGGGGAATCTGTGGGTAGCAGAAAAGATAAGGAAAGGGATAGTGTGCTATTTCATAATGCATGTAGACTGCCATGAGTGTGATATTCTTCTGAAATTTTCTCAATATTCTCTCTCTCTCTCTCTCTCTCTCTTTTTTTTTTTTTTTGGCTGATGGACTACTTTTTGTAGGAAGTAAGGGTGGGCAGAGTGCAGAGTAGCAAAGATGACTCCCTCTGCATTTTGAGGGATGAGCTACTAACTGATGTAGCGTTCACAGAACTGAGAACAGGCAAGCTATGAATGCAATACTCTGGTCTAACTAGGGGATATTCACCTGGCCTGACTGTGGTACTTCTGGTCTCCTGCTGTACCAGTGTTTTTATTAATAGTACCCAATTTAGATGACAATTTATATAGTCATTCCTCTATCTAACCCTTTTATTGCTCTAACCTTGTTTGTTCTTATCTGTTTGTGTGTCTCTCTTTCCATTAAAGTAATGAGTGCCTTGAGGCTGGAGGCATTGTCTCATTCATCTCTGTGTCTAGCACATGTCTGCTGTTTGGTGGACGTTTAGAAATTGTTTGTTAAATTGAACTGAAATCTGAGACAGAATGAAGAAGAGCCTTAGAATGGAAATGACCAGCTCAAATTATCTTCCCTGTGCTGAAGAGGTCTATATTGGAGGTCCAGTTTTGACTTACTCATGAGCTTTATGCTTTAGAAACACATGTAATCTCTTTCAACTAAGTGAGAAGTGCTTGGAGAAGGGCTTTGAGTGCTCAATAAATGTTAGCTGCTATCATTGTTACCAATAATACTTGCTAATCATATCTATTACATATAATAACTATATTTTCTTATTTACTTTTTTTACATATAATAACTTTAAATTTCAGTTTTCTTAGCTGGAAAATGAAGATAATTCATGCTCATATTGTTTTGATAATGAACATGAAGACAATTTAGAAACTATAGAGAGCTCTTATTGGATAGCCCATAAAATAATACATGGTAACAGGGAGATTTGTGCTTCTAGAATTGGCATAATTCTGACATATTACATGGGTGGCTCAACTGATGGACAATATAAAGAAACTTTTAAATACAACATTCAAAAAATGATACAATGTCTAGGCTGTGGAGCAGAAGTTGACCTATTCCCAAGTGTAGGAACACTAAAAAAAAAAAAGCACATGGGAAAAGATGATAGGGTAGACTCAGAGCAAGTATGGGATTTAGGATTGAGTTCCTGCTCAGTGTAAGATCAACAAAGCATTGATTCAGGAATGATGAGGGAGCTGAACCATTCCAGACTTGGCAGCTGGAGAACAAGAACTTGAATTTAGAACAAAAGAGGATTCATGTAAAGAAAGACATCCTAGTTGGCAAAATTGGCCATGAGTTTATATTTATGAGTTAGTGTGAACATTTAATCAAAGTCATGCCAAATGTGAACGATACCTGAGGCAGACAGTCAACACCTGCATGCGTTGCTAATAAGAGGAAGATTCCCCAAAATTCGACATTAAAGCAGCCTTCAGCAAAGGATCACAGAAACACTTCTGGTAATGTAATCTTTATCTGGTGAGACAGAGAATGTGGCTGATTTAAAGTTGCATGTTCCAGGTCCCTTGTTATTCTAACAGGCAATCCTAGCAGGAGCTGAACTATTGACACAAGGAATTCTTAGATCTAAAAAGTGCCATTAAACCAAAGGGTAGAATTTCAAGTCTACTTCTGGGAAAACGGCTAGATGATAGTAGAAGTAACAGCACCAGCAGCGTGAGCAGCAGCTGTGATAAACACATGTGTAGCACTTGTACATAGTGACTCATTTAATTTTTACTGAATTTCCCAGTTTGATTGCAATGTCTCAGAGGCCTGAGATCATATGGTACTTTGTCAGGGATCCTTCTCCCCCTTCTCAGTCTCTCCTCAACTTCTTCAATCTCTATCCCCAGTTTTATCACCCGAATCCCAGTTGGTTCAAATGCTCTTTATTGTGCTTAACCAATATTTGCGGTCATTTTGGTTCTTCCCCAGGAGATATTTGGCTACCGGACTCAAGGCTGCCGGAAAACTCTCTGTCTTGCTGGATCCATCTTCTCCTTTGGGATCCTCCCTTTGGTGTTTTACTGGAGACCCGCTTGGCACGTGTGGGCCAATTGTGTGCCGTGTTCCTTGCAAGAGGCAGACGTCGTGTTACTGAAGACAACAGTAAGTGTGTGCCTGGCTTTTACCTGGTGGCCCTTTTTCCTGGACATCTCATTACAGGATGGCAGTGGGAGATGTGCACCTGGCAAGTTCCATCACAGCCTTGCATTTATTTACCAAGAACTCAATAATTTCTCTATGATAGTATTTCAGAAGAAGACCTACTTCACTGGGTATTCCTTTTAAACTTGTGAGTCTTATGGATATTAGGGCTGAAATAACAATAGGAGTAGCTAAAAGTAATGGGTAATGTGAAATAGTTAAGTCAGGCTACTAGCTACAAAATTTGCATGGATGCTTCCCCTCATGTCCTGATGTATCACACCTACCCCATTTCCCCTGGAGCAACTCTGCAGGAAGAGATTGGGAGAGGTAGGAAGGAGATGGGGAGTACCCCTCTGAGGAGGATGTGGTCTTCTGTCAATTTGAGAGAGCCATGGTCTTTGAGGGAGTGTGTTGCATCCTGCAGATAAAGTTAAAAAAAGCAGCCACCTTTTTCTGAGCTCATTGTCTCTCTCTGCTAATACAAGGTACAGGTGTTGGGTGAGTTTCCATGAATTTGCTCAGCTAACACTACCTCCTAACATTCTTTACACTTAAGCAACGTCTGTCATTCATATTTATGCTGGACTGTCAGCTCCACAAGGGAAGGAATTATTTCTCACTTGCTAATCCCTAGTTCCTGTGTGCTGTGCTGTAGGGATTCCATAATATGTGGTGGCTGACAGGCTGAGGTGCATATTCCTATTAATGGAAGTCAAAGTACAGTCTTACAAAAAGAAACTTCTCTGGCTGACTAACAACACATCAGCCCAAATGACCCAGAATGACAACCACATTTTGATAAATCAACCTCTGCTGGGCTCTTAGCTTATTTTTATATATAGTAATGTCTCTAAATAAACACACTATTTAATACAGCAAGAGGAGATGTAAGCAACAGTCTTATAACAATGACCCTGGCGGAACCTCCTTCCAAGTTCTACTATTGTTCTCAGGGGGCAACGCTCTTGCTGCAGCAGAAATAACTTCAGGAACAGAAAAGCTTTTCTGCCCTTTCAGAGTGTACCACCAGACTCTTTGGATCTGAGAATGGCTGGCTGGCCAAATTGTACTCTTTGAGATTGCTGGCAGAGTCAAGGCACAAATCGGAATAGGAAGAAATGAGCAAGAAAATGGCAAGGGAAGGGAGGAAAGTGAGAAAACTGGAGGGTAGTGGATAAAGGGAAAGTGAAGAGGGAGAAAAGAGAAAGAAACATCCAGTAAGAGAAATAAACAAGTTGTCACCAACAGGGAATGAATGTGCAGTTTGGGATTCAGAGTCAAGAGGTTTGACTTCTAGTCCTAGCACCCCAAGTATGTTACACCTCAGGAGTGTTACCCAACCTTTCAGGACTCCATTTGGAAAATAGGCTAGAAAAAGCACTCATTCTTGCTTGCATTGATGTGAGGATGAAGTGAGGTTATGTATATGAAAGCCCTTTGCAAACTGTAAAATACATGATCAAAGACCATTTTGAGTGTGTGTGTGTGTGTGTGTGTGTGTATTATTGCTGAAGCAGCTCAGAGAACTTGCTATATAAAAGAGGCTGTTATACAAAAGAACCTGCTATAGACTAAATGTACCACATATAATTGTTTGATTGTCTGGATACTGTGTCCTCCCGTTTTTAGTCAGGAGCATTCCTTCCAGGATGGGAGACCTAGGGAAGAGGTCCAGTGCCTGTGAATCCCCAGTACTCATTCATCATCCATGCTCAAACAATCATCTCTCCTGGCTGCATGTGGTCAGCTTTGCAACCAGATACATATTGGAAACATTTTAAGAAGACTGGTGCCTTAGGGTACTGTGTTCCATCCTCCTCCTCTTTCTTTGTCTCCTTCAAAGCCGATTAAGCCCCGCTCCCATTTGACTGCCCTCCACAACTAATCAGAGCAGTCTAAACCATCCTCAATCTTTCCTTTTTCATCTTGATTTCAACTTTAATTTTTAATTACCTCCTCTTATGTGTCATTTTAAATGGATTTGCTATGCCAGAGACTCTCCAAATAAATGAGGTTCTAAATTAGTCTTTATGTAATTAGACAAGAACTCAATTATATCAAACATTCTTACTATATGAACCTTAGATAGAAATAAGCTTTGGGCACCAATAGCTTAAAAATCTGAGGCTAGGTTATTTGCATTAAATGACACCTTAAAATTTTTTATTTGAATTGTATTATAATAGCTGGACTATAAGAATTTCCCATTAAGGCTAAAAAGACTCTTACCTGAAAATGTGTTGTATATCTATTTTTCATGTTATTAAAAAATCAGTACTTGGTATTTATCATCAATCTCACACTGGTAAGATTATGGATCATTATCGCAGATACTGATTAGGTAGTCATTTCTTAACATTAAAAAGGGGGGGGGTGCCATGATGTACTAACTAAAAGTCTTTAGCACTCCGTTTATTTTCAGTTCCCCATCTCTTATTAAGCACTTCTAAGAGTGGGATTTTTCCAAAATATAAGAGTAACTACACTTCTATTTTATAATTTTAAAAGTGGCATTTTATTCATTATTCATCTACTTTTGAATTTTAACTGATATCTGTAGGGTGGCCACATTTCTATGCAAATTACATGATTTACATTCATTGGTGTTTTGAATTCAGATGCTCCTGATGATTTCCATAGTTTTCATCTTTATTATAATTACAGATGCGTTTTTTTTTTTCCCTTCCCTGTCATATGTCATGTTGTCAAAGACCCGTGATGTGCAGAGGAGGGTGAGAGGATTGGTTAGTAGGCTGAGTCAGGGTGTTTCATTTCAGTGTTTCCGTGGGGAGCATTTCCCCTCAGTTTCACCTAAAGGTGTCAATGCTTGGGGCTTTAGGTTAAAAACTCAGAAATTCTGCAAATCAGCCATGCAGATGGCATCCAGAGTCCACTAGCTCCCCTGGATGCTCTTCAGCCACCGGGGTTTGTATTCACGTGTCTGGATTTCTGACTTATCTCTCCCTTCTCCTCTGCAGCCTGGTCTCTCTAAGCCCCAGGTGCCTCACATCAACACCATTTCCTAAGGGAGCCAGAGAGTTTTTGTCTGTGCTTTTACTCACAGCATTTCTTCTGCTATTCTTTGTCTTCTTCATTCATTCAGTTATTTATTCATTCATTTAATACTTCCTGAGCACCAATCACATACCAGACATTGTTATAGGTGCTGGGAATATAGCTGTAACCAAAACAGATGGAAATCTCTGTCCAGTAGAATGATATTCTGGTGAGGAATCAGCTCATACATGTATGCGCGTGCACTCACACACACGTATTCGCACATACACATTTTCTATAGAGTGAATATAGAAAGTAGGTGTTCTACTTCTATTTATGAAAGCCTACTCATCCTTCAGCCATCTACCTCCTTCTCCATTGATGATCCATTCTCTGACTCAATTTTGGGGGAATTAATTACCTTCCTTCATTCTCTTTTGGCTCCGTATTTTCACTCCTGACTACTATAATGCTTTTTGCAATCCGCCTTGTATTAAAATGCTGTTCATTTCATATTTTATAAAACAGCATCTCATTGACTATTTCATATAATTCTCATAACAACCCTGGAAAAAGGGCATTATCACCTGTCTCTATTTTACAGATGAGGATACAGATTATATCTTTGCAGTCTAGTAAACCTAGTAAATGTCACCCAGGCTTTTCCTCTTCCTCTTTCTTTCTCCCTCTTTCCCTCTTCCCCCCACCTTCATAAATTGATAAGCACAGGTTGTGTGCCAGCCATAGTGGTAGCTCATGGGCAGGGGGTAGAGTATAACAGTAGTAAAATCAGGGTTCTTTTTTTTTTAAGATTTATTTATTTATTTATTTACTTATTTATTTATGATAGACATAGAGAGAGAGAGAGGCAGAGACACAGGAGGAGGGAGAAGCAGGCTCCATGCCGGGAGCCCGATGTGGGACTCGATCCAGGGTCTCCAGGATCGCGCCCTGGGCCATAGGCAGGCGCTAAACCTCTGAGCCACCCAGGGATCCCCCCAAATCAGGGTTCTTGACCTCATGAAGTTCATTAGATCACTACACAAATAAATGTGAACATCCAACTGCTATAAGTGCTACTTAGGAAAGGTTCATGGTTATGGTAGGATTGTAAAATAGGGCTTTGACTAAGTCAAGAAAGTCTTTCTTGAGCTAAAGAATGATGGGTCAAAAGGTGATGATGGCTGGTGGGAAGGAGCACATGGGAAACGGTCCAGGAAAAGGAAATAGTGTAGACAAAGAACTTGCACCTGTCTTCTGACGCTCTAAATCTAGAGTTTTTTCCCACTATGCTTCATTCCTTTTTTATAGTTTTTTTTCTTTTATTAGATTATAGGGTTTTTGAAAACAGTAACTATAGTGTATTTCATTCTTTTTTGTGACTGAATAATATTCTAATGCATGTGTGTGTGTGTGTGTGTGTGTGTGTCCCATCTTCCTTATCCATTCATTTATCAATGGACCCTTGGGCTGCTTCCATAGTTTGGCAATTGTAAATAAAGCTTCAATAAACATAGAGGTACATATATCCTTTCAAATTTGTGTTTTTGTATTTTCTGGTAAGTATTCAGTAGTCCAATTACTGGATCATAGAGTGGTTTTATTTTAAATTTTTGAGGAACCTCTATACTGTTTTCTTCAGTGGCTGTGCCAGTTTGCATTCCCACCAACAGTGTATGAAGGTTCCTTTTTCTCCACATTCTCACTAACACTTGTTTCTTATGTTTTTGATTTTAGCCATTCTGATATGTGTGAAGTGATATCTCATTATAGTTATGATTTGCATTCCCAGATGATGAGTGATGTTGAGCATCTTTTCATGTGTCTATTGGCCATCTGTATGTCTTCTTTGGAAAAATGTCTGTTCATGTCTTCTGCCCATTTTTAAATTGGATTATTTGGTTTTTGAGCATTGAATTTACCAATTCTTTATGTATTTTGGGTACTAACCCTTTATCAGA